GTTCGATTGCTACTGAGCTCTGCTTGGTCTGCTGAACACGACCAATCATCTGATTTCGAAATCCGCAGATTCGCGGCGGATCTTCGTATCGCGCATCATTCGAGCAAGATGAAGATGGCGACGTCGTAGCCGCCGTTTTGAGGAAGAAGCGGGACTTTGCGGCGAGTTTACGCTACAGGAATTGTCTAAGTTTAGAGTAGTTTAGAGCAGTTCATAGCAGTTCAAACGCACAGATCGACTGGTCAGTTCTGTCATCAATCACGCGACCGTCACGGTAGCCTCTGGTAAACGCGATCAGCCTTTGCGGAACCGTGGAACCATGTCGGACGAGAAGAAGGTAAACGCTCCCCCCCCCCCCATCCAACCTAACCTATAATGCCGATTATTTACGATATACGTCGTGGCGTCTCCCGCGCGCAACTCACGCCAGTTGTCCTTTGTTTGTGCAGGAAACTAAGACGGAGTCAGAGCATATAAACCTGAAAGTTCTGGGCCAGGACAATGCGGTAGTCCAGTTTAAAATTAAGAAACATACACCTCTACGTAAACTGATGAATGCGTACTGTGACCGTGTAGTAAGTATTTACTTGGTATATCTTCTGTTTTATATATTTTTTTTCTTATGTTTTTCTTATATATGTACCTTTAACACCACAATGGGGTTGTATAGCGCATGTGTATTTGTATTTATTCTTTAAAACTTTCTAATTTCTTTAATTGACCTCTTGTAAATCAAGTTGTATATGGATTAAGAGTCAGGATTGTATCTGAGATCTATCAAGTGTCGGTATGAATCAGAAGCTCTAATACAGAGCCTCGCGTCTCTTCTGATATCCCCATGAAAATGCAACTATGAATAACTTTGTTCATTGAGAGCTTTTAATGAGTTGCACATATTTTGAGATTGCTTTGTATGGAAGATATATATTTTTTTGCATTATATTGAAGTGTATTGAATTGTAATATTTCCTAACACAATTTCTAACAATATTGTTATTATTGGTGCTGTTCTACAGGGCTTGGCGATAGCAGCAGTAAGATTTAGGTTTGATGGACAGCCCATAAATGAATTAGACACACCTACCACACTGGAAATGGAAGAAGGAGACACAATAGAAGTATATCAACAGCAGACTGGTGGTTTCTCGTGTTGAAACGCAATGTGGCGCGTTTACAAATGGACTAAATGAAATTTACCGTTCCAGCAGTGTTTATTAATAGAAACATGATTAATTTTTCTTTTGTTTATTTTCCTCTGCGCTCTGCACGAGACTTCAATCTATTACATGATACGCGAGATTCACTTACGTGTACAATGTTTGACGCCTAATCTCGTTGTTTTTATCTCGTTGCTTTTTATCTATTGAGTATAATTACATATTTACTATTTTGAAATATTCGATATATCCTTTTGATATTTAAAGGTATCCATTATGTCATTGATTGAAGTCTGTTTGGCCGAAATGGCCCTTTACTGTAAGTTTTAACACACATTCGAGTACAATCGTACACGCGGTTTGGCGTGAAAATGCGAGTTTTTGTTAACGCCGAGAGAGAGAAAAGCGAAACACAAGTTATGTAAAGGGAACACCCATTACACCCATCGCCGTCAAGATCCTCTAAAAAATTCGAGATTCCTCGTGTACATGAATTTTTACGTGAATATAACATTGTAATGACTTAACGATTTAATGCATTCTTTAGATATCCTCTTTCTATATTTGTAAAGGGTGTACAGGAGAATGGTATGTAGATTAAGGGCGTACATGTCCATGATGTGTGAGTAAGAAACTCTGCAAGGCTCTGGCTTTCGTCTGCTTCAGAAAACCGAATTTTGTATCCGTAGTTATTATCTATAATTTCTACATGGCTCACGTTACTTTGTACATGAACGAGAATAAATTGCACATTATCTTTTGTAAAAGAAAAAAAATCTGTTTTTTGACAAGCGGCTCTTCGCTGCTACATTCTTAATGCTGCAAAAGAGAAATCGATATAATTCTTTTTTCCCAAGCCATATATATGCAATACATTTTTTTATCAGGGTCTAAATATCGTTAATGTAAAGTATATCTCGGATCCATTAATTATATTCGCTTAATGTAAGTTTTACATGAATGTAAGATACATGTATTTAAAGTGTTTGTGAAAATATAATTTAATTTCACACTCCGACTGTACGTGAGAGTAGCACAGATTTCAATGAAAAATTTAAAACGTATATCTCGCAATATATTTTTAATTTAATATTTTCTTCAGAAATATTTATTTACGGACTCAGATTTTCTTT